TGTATGTACGTGCGTGAATGCGTGCATCTGTACGTGCGTGTGTGCCTGCGTGCGAATGTGCGAGCGTGAGTGCCTGCGTACGTGCCTGATTGCGTCTGTGCGTGCGTGGGTGCCTAAAAACATGGGTGCATGCGAGTGTCTATACGTGCGTAAGTGAGTAAGTCTGTACGTGCGTGTGTGCCTGCGTGCGTCTGTGCGTGCGTGGGTGCCTGCGTGCGTGCCTGCGTGCGTCTGTGCGTGCGTGGGTGCGTGCATCGGCGCACAGACGGCCTTCCTCCGCAGGCTCCACCGTGTACACGTGCATGCTGAACGCGCGGGGCGGCACCGAGAGCGACCTGACCGTCAGCCGCCTGGCCCCCGGCCCCGAGGCCTCGCCCCTCGCCCCCACCTTCGAAGGTGAGCGGCGTCCGGCACAGCCCCGCTCCGGTGGCCGGTGCCCCTGGTGCCCCTGGTGCCCCTGGCGGCGGGGAGGGCGGGGCGGGGCGAGGAGAGGTCTGCGGTCGGGGGCGCAGTGTCATGTCTGGGAGCCCGGACCCTGGCGCTCGCGGCGGCCGTGGCGCGGGCTGCTCGGCTCCTCTGCCCGAGCGGTGAGCCCAGGCGAAGGTCGTGCCTCCCACCGGGATGCGTGAGCCCCTCTCTGCGTGAACACCTGTGCCCCGTGGACTGTCCGGGTGCCCACGGGGGTCCCGGTTGGGTTCCAGTGGATCCTCGGCCCCAGGGTTGGAGGAAGGCGAGGTGACGCCGGCACGGGAGGCGCTGCAGGGCCGGGGACACCGCTATGCGAGGGCACCGCACGCAGTAAAAGCTGTTCGGTTCCTGCTCTGAATGCGAGTCCGTTAAGTGTGCATGTGTGGCACACGCGTGTGCACGGCACCTGCTCCGTCGGGTCACCAGGAAGGCAAGAGGACGGGCGATCCGCGTCGGATCCCGGCTGTGCACACGCAGCCTTGAGCGGGCGTTTTGAACCCCCTCTCATCGCAAAAGGCTTGGGCACAGCCCGCAGGAAACAGCTGGCAGCACCGGGAGGTGCGGGATCCAGTCCAGGGCTCCGGTGCTGCACCCCGGAGCCCCTGGAGGCTCCGCCCTGACGCCCGGCTCCGCCTGCAGCTGGGCCCGACCTGGGCTGGCCTCTGGTCTCGGGCCCAGCCCTTCCATGTTTGGATGAGAGACCGCGGGCCAGGTCCACCGGTGCTGACCTCAGCGAGCCCGGATCTGGGCCGGGCGGGGTGCCGGAGACCAGGGACACAGGGACACAGGCACACGGAGGGACATGGAAGCTGGCAAGAGGCTCTCGGCTCCCAGAGGAGAAGAGCAGGTCCCAGGCTGCCCGCCCTGGCTGACGTGGGGTGGGATCTCCCGTGGTGACATGGTGTCGGGCTCGCACTTTCTCCCAGATCAGGAGCCTTTGAAAAGTGACGAGAGCCTCGGACTCTCCCAGGAAAGTGCCCTGGCGTGTGCGTCCTCAGGGTCCCGTCCCCCAGTGGCGGTCCCATGTGGTGTCCTGTGTGCATGAGGGTCCAGGCCCTGGCCAGGTCACTGCTCTGCTGGTCGCTCTCTCAACCCAAGCCTCAGGCCGCCCAGCCCCACAACCCCCTCTAAGGCGCTGCTTCCCTTCCAGGGGACGCCTTCTACCTGGCTGTGGGCGGGGCCGTGGCCCAGCACAACTGGTCCCACATCACCTCGGTGCTGCAGGACCAGCGGTTCCGGTGCCAGCTCATCGACAGCTCAGAGGACCTGGGCATGATCAGCATCCAGGGCCCAGCCAGGTGAGGAGAGGGGGCACCTGGGTGCACCTGGGCCCCGACCCTAGTCCCTCCAACTGGGACCCGTGGCCAGAAGCCCTTGCTGTCCAGAAGGGGACAGTCTGGTTAGCTAACCAGTCGGGGGAAGCTAGAGATTCCACGCGGGATAAACTGTCTCTAAAGCTCTAAAACGCAGAGAAACTTTTCGTGTGACTCAGTATCGCAGGGTTCAGGGGTCACGTCTCAGAATTACATACGGCTCTGGGAGCGGGCAGAGCCGGGCCCAGGTCCTGCCTGCTGCCTGGGCGAGAGGCCACCTGCCTCCTTCTGAGCAGCTCCCTGCGCGCCTGTGATGACCACAGGGCCAAGCATTCTCTCTGCACGTATTCACAGAACTCCCCACACGGAGCCCAGCCCAGAAGGGGCATGCGGGCAGCTGGGCACTGTCCAAAGGCCCCTCTGGCTGGGCTTCGGAGGAGGAACCCGGGGGTGGGGGGCCAGAGGGGAAGCGCATCGTGGTAAAGCCACCCACCGGCACCTGTGGGTTGCCAGCCCTGTGCCAACATCTCCCCGGCTGCCCTAGGCTGGCCGGCCTCCCTCCCTGGCGGGGTCGTAGCTGCCTTCATGGGCACTGCTCGGGCACACAGCAGGCGCACAGTGGGTGCTTGCTGAGCAGTCGAAGAGGATCTGAGTGGCTCATGTACTGGAACTGTCAAGTGTTTGAATTCGGGTTGCCTGTGGGGATGTGGGCAGCAGGAGATGTGGTCGGACGGGGGTGGTGTTAGATGGTTAGATCACTGTCCCAGCCTCTGTTCACCCACCCGAGGAAGGAGCCCTTGAGAGCGCATCTGTGGGTCTGGCCTCCACCGGGGTCGCCTGCTCCTTCATTGTCGCCGTGAGGGTGGCTTTCTGTGCCTGTGTGGTGTGTGTTCGTCCTGCTGTGTCTTCATTGGCGCCAGGCCTGCTGTCAGTCTGCCCCACGAGCACAGGGACTGGTCCCGCTCACCGCTCTGTCCCCAGTCCCTCCTGGTGCGGAGCGCACACCCAGGGGTGCCAGCAAGTATTTGTTGACTGACTGACCGACTGTTCTTGCTTGCAGCCGGGCCATCCTCCAGGAGGTGCTGGATGCAGACCTGAGCAATGAGGCCTTCCCCTTCTCCACCCACAAGCTGGTGCGAGCCGCCGGGCACCTGGTAGGTACCCGCTGTCCCCAGGTTGCGGGCAGCAGCCACCTGCTGGAAGGAATACCCGGGGCTGGGACTTGGGAACCCCAGTGCCCTTGGGCAAGGCTGTTCACCTCCCAGAGCCTTGGTCCCCACTGTGAACAGAGACCCGGTCTTGCCCACCAGCTGCCAGGACCTCCAGGGGTGCTGGGTCTAAGCCGGGCATCACCCCAGCTCCTCCTGGTGCCTGGCACAGGGGGCTCAGTCCCAGGCTTCTGCCAGGAAGGCAACCTCAGCCTCGCCACCCGCACAGCCGCCCGGGGTCCCCTCCCGCATCGGGTGACGCGTTATTTCCTCCGCCTCCTTGGGGCGGCGGGGCTGGGGCAGCTGGGCAGGTCTCCATGTCCTGCTGTGTCTCCCCCTCGCCCACCAGCGTGGCGGGTGTGGGAGGAGGAGGGCTGCTCGGGGAGCTCTAGCAGTCCCGAGGGGCACCCCCCCTCCCTCCCCCCCAGCTCAGACAGTCCGGGACGCAGGACCCGAAGCTTCTGAGACTGTGGACAGTCAGGGCCCTGTCAGAACCGGCTTCCTCAGAGCCCCTGGGGCCAGGTGCCTGGTCCGGCCTGGGCCAGCATGGCCCTTCCTGGGCCTCAGGGTCCTTGTTGGAAACTAGGGACCGTGACCTTCCCTCTGCATTCCTGAGGCCAAGGGGACCAGCAGACAGTGTAAGTAACACCAGCCACTGTTTGCTGTGTGTACCAGGCCCACTGTACCAGGTGCTGTACCAGGCCCACTGGACCAGGTGCTATACCAGGCCCTGGACCAGGCGCCGCTCTAGGCGCACTGACACGAGGATTCCCCACACAGACCCTCTCAGGGTGCTGACACCCGGAGCGGATATACTGTGCTGGGCCGTCCTGGGTGTGGCAGGTGTTAACCTCATCCCTGCCCTCCAGCCGCTCGATGCCAGGACTCCTCCTGTTGTGACCAAAAATGTGTCCAGAAATTAGCGAGTGTCCCCCATGGCTGCAGGGTTACCCATAGCAGGGGTGGCAGCCACACGGGCAGCAGCCACGGCCAGGTCCCCGTCACCCTGGAGGACGGATGTTTCTTCCAATAGAGCTCAGAGAGGTAGGTTGGGCTGCCCAAGGCCGCCCAGCCAATAAAACAGGAAGAGTGCACGGATACGTGTCCGTGAAGCAGACGTGACCCTGAGGACGGGTTAGGCAGACAGACAGATGGTCCTTTTCTCATCTCCCGTGTTCATCAGGGGTTTGGGCGGGGAGTGTGAGGGAGCGTTGGTGGGGAGCCATGCTGGCCTGCAGAGGGTCTGGAGGTCGGACGCGTCTGGGTCCTGTTAGCAAATAAACAGCATTGCGATGACATCGGCGAGGAGGCTGCCAGGGGGACGGAGATAAAGGCTGCTCTGCGGAGGGAGCCCAGGAGGCGAGGGCTCCGCTCCCGCCTTCACTGCAGCCTTCACTGCAGAGGCCGAGCTAGGGGAGCAGGAAGCTGGGGGGGTGGGGAGGGGGATCTGTCTAGCTCGCTTCCTGACTCCTCGGTGCCAAATTGCCTGCCGAGACCAGAGAGGGTGGGCACTTCGCAGGAGCAGCACAGCTCAGCCGGGGTGGTGGCTGCACCCCGCCTGCCCCTGGGCCCATGCGGCGTCTGAGCTGGGAGCCTCTGTGTGGTTCAGGGTGGGGGTTCGCTGGGGAGAGGACCAGGTGGGAGCACTCCCCCCTCAGCCAGGCGCTCCCATAAGGCACCTGGAACATGGTCTTGGATGGCGGGTCCGGCTGCCTCCCCGCCCCTGGGGCCGCCCTGGCTGCCTCCCAGGTCTGGCCGCCGTGGT